CAAGGCACATTTGGCACTGAGATGACAGCTCTCAGGAACCTCTTTCTCAAATTCACTTCCTAGAGGTTTACAAAGCATTGGAGAGGGAACAAAACCGGCGAACCGGGTGGAACCGAGAGCTTGTAAATGGCATCGTAAGGGGCAGATTTCAGCAGACCCTCGCCGAGGATCCATCCTCCCACCCGCGGCAGCGCCGCCCGCGCCCGCTGGAACCTCTGCGCGCCGCTCCGCGCGCCCGGGGCCGCCCCCGCCCCGCAGCCGCCGCCCGGCCCGGCCGGCCCGGGGGCCCCGCCGCTCCCCGACCGCGGAAGGTCGTTCCGCAAGGTGACGGGGGCGCCCGGGCCGCGGCCGGCACGGGCCCCGCCGCTCCGGGGCGGCCGCTCGGCGCTCCCCCCGTCCCCGCATCCCTCCCGCTCCGCGCCCACCGCCGCGCCCGGGCAGGCGGGGGCGATGCCGCCGGGGCGGGGGGGGGGTGTTGGCGGGCGGCCCCCCCCGCTCGGCTGCAGCGACCCCCGCAGCGGGGCCGGGCGCGGCGGCGGAGCCCCGCCGGCCCCGCAGCCGGTGCCGCCTCACCTGTCCGGGCGGCGCGCAGGTCCCCGCGCCGGGCGGAGCGCGGCGCAGCGCCCATGGCCGAGCGCGGGCGGAGGCGCGGCCGCGCCGCCGGGGGACGGGCCAGGCGGGGGCGGGCGGCGCCGGGGAGCGTCTGCAAAGAGCCGGCCGCGCACGGGGGCGCAGCGCGGCGGGGCGGGCGGAGGGCGGGGCGGCGGGGCGCGCGCGGCCGGAAGCGCCTGTGACAGGGCGAGGCAGAGCCGGGGAGTGTCTGCAAAGTGCGCGCCCGGCGCGGGGCGGCCGTGAGGGGGAACCGCCCGGCCGTGGCCCGCGGGCGCCGGGCGCGGGTGTGGGCACGGCGCCGGGCACGGTCACGGTCACAGCCGCCGCCCGCCGTGGTGAGCGTGCAGAGGCGGCTCCCGGCCCCTCCTGCGAGGGTTTCCCTCAGCGAAGCCGTCAGGCCGGGCGCGGAGCCCGCGCTGAGCCGACGCGTTGGAGCGGCCAGCGCGTTTCCTAAGCATTAGGAACAGGTATTTGTGTCTGTTCAGCCGCTTAGGCTGTCCTAAAACACGCTCTGCACGCTGCCAGAAGTTGGCCTGTGGGCGCCCTCAGCGGCGGGGAAGCGGCGCGCTGCTGCAGGGCCATCTGCTGATGGCAGTTCGGGCTGGCGGCGCCGGCTCTCGCTCGGCTCGGCTCGTTTCCCCCAGCCGGCTGAGAGCTCATAGAGGCTGGGTGACATCTCGTGGCCAGTCCTGCTCTTCTGCATGGATACAGCCTTCTTGCATAAGGACAAACATCAAAGTGAAAAACTGTTTCTGGTCACCTCCACGACCTAATATAAATTAAAGAAACATACCTGAAGGTTATAATAAGATGCAAAACTCTGGTCCATATTTGTTGCAATATTCATCACATCTACATATTCATCTGGTTTCGAAATAAAAGTTTTTAAAAATAAAGCAGATGGGTATGATGTTGGTCACAATGGACAAAAATCCTTGCTGGTGTTTGGTGCTGTTCTGGGATTTCTCCACACAGGACAGAAAATGATTATTCACTTCCTCAAGGTTTACAAATGCATGCTGAAAGATACTTGTCTGCACCCACAAGCATCTGCAACAATGCTGGGTACCTGAGAGTTTTGCTTTTCACCCAGCATTGTGCTGTGATCCTATTTAGAAAAGCTCGCTGGCATTTAATGACAGGGTTTGGAAACTTTATGAGTAGCAGAATGATCAAAGCTTTGGACATCCTTCTGTGTAAGATGGGAACTTCCTAAATGATCTGCTGTGGTTTGTGCAATGGGCTTGCATCACAGGGAAACAAAGCAGGTGAAATACCAGCAACTACAGTACTTTCAGTCTTTCCCATTTATTATGGTTTTAATTTGTATAGCTCATATACAGGAGCTGACCTAACACTGCAGTCACTTTTGAGTTTGATATGTTCTTATACAGAATATTATACAACAGTGGTCTCCTAGCAGTGCTCTTCCCAAAGGGAACAGTAGCCCTTATTCGCTCACAGTTCTCAAGCTGGATTGTGTCTACCAGCTCCTCCATTGAGGAACAGGATGGTACACTACATATTCCACAGTATTTATGTCTGATATAGCAATGTGAAAAAATATGGCAGTTATGAGCAAACTACGTGCCTTGAATAGGGAAGTGAAAACTGCATAGGTGAGCAGGCATTATTGCAATTGGGGCCCTGGTGCTGGCATCTCATCTTGCCTGTTTGCATCTCTCCAGGACTCCATGCATGTACTGATCCCCTGACCCTTGGTGCAAGGAGGAATCATTAGAGAAGTAATTAAAGAAGATGGTTGATGCCATCTGTTGGTTGTGTGAAACCCCCTAAACATTGTATAAGGCTGGAACTGTACATCTCAGCCTGTTGCTAACTGAGAACTTTTGGGTTACTGTGAGGCCTGTGTTTTCCTGAGGGAAACAATTCTATTCTGGCAGAGACATTCAAGGTATCATCTATTGACAGTGTTTTCCTGCTTGACTTTGTGTCCAAAACTTGCAGGTACAGCCCTGCCTTGAGTGACAACAACTTGGTGTGATTGAGTGCCAGTCACAGCTTTGGAATAACAGAGACCTCGGGAAGCTGAGGTGCAGAAGTCACATCTGTACCAACTCCTGCTTGCTTGCTGTGCACTCAGCAGAAAAGGACAGGAATAATCTTAAGCAGACATTGAACACAGTTGGGACTGTTTGTGTTATGGGAGCAATTCTTTGGCATTTCTCTGCACTGAATTTTGGAGAATTCTGTTTACAGACCAGCAGTGTTTGATTACATAAAACGTAAATGCACAGAAATCACCAGTGCTAACTCCAGAATTGCTTAATGGTACCTTTAAAGTAGTATATTTGTTGAGTTTTCCATCTTCATCTTCCATCTTCAGTTGTTCAAATAATAAACTACTGTAAGGTGGAGAAATGTGACCAGAGCATGGAGAACTCTGGGATTATTCACAGGCAATACTTCCATAAACTTTTCCCTAGAGAAGTGCATGTCAGACGTGTTCCCTTTTGACTTGCAACACTGTATAACAAAACTACAGCACACACATAAAATGTAGTTTGTCTTTCATAACAGCAAAACATGTTATGATGAATTATATATTATTATTAGAGAATACAGACAGAGAAAATAGAGATCTAGTAATCTCTTTCCTGTGAGGGGGACTACGTTCAGCATTCCTGCCTCTGTTGTGGTTCATAGCCCCCCTTTGGGTCAGGCACAGTGTTACATCATGTTATACTTGTATTGCCACAGCAATAAAGCACTTGGGATAGGCACTAGAGAGAATCTGCTTTATAATCTGCATCTCCTTCAAAGCCCTGTTGCCTAGTTTCTGAAAGGGCCTCATCCCTCTATGTAGGATTTCTTTCCTTCTTTTTTAACCCTCTGAATATAACTCTATAAGCTCCTCTGAATAAAGGCTTCTTAGCTTTGCAGACACTAAGTGGACTCTTCAGTGGTAGGCTGAGTATTGTATTATTAATGCTGAACATGACTTCAAAAAAAAAAAAAAAAGAGAAAAGAAAAAAAAGACAACAGGAAAAATGAAAAAAAAAAAAAAAAAAAGAGAAAAGAAAAAAAAGACAACAGGAAAAATGAAATTTGAACCAGAGATAAGATAAAAAAGACCTTCCTGAGAAGTATCTTTGTCTATTCTTTGCTAAACAAATAAAATCATGCTTGAGGATTCCAAGATATGCTTTTAAATCATTCTGTTTGATGTCTACCTTGGCTTTATTGATGGAATTTAATTTATTGCAAAATGGTAACTGACTCAAACCACTGTGCTAGAAATCAGAAAACTTAGGTGTTCATGTTCAAGAGTGTATCTTGCTTTTTTGTTTGAATGCTCTGATTTCTCAGGACCTCATATATGCTTTTTGAAATGCAGTACAATGCAATTCTGAAAAGCTGAAACAATATCCAATCCCACTAATATTCTGATCACAAAGTGAAGTCTTGAGGAGTCACAGTCTCTCTTCTTAGTCACATTTTGAAATTGCTGTAGAATAACCTTGGTTTAACTCTGATTAAATATTAGAAGAGTAGGTAATAGAAAATGTTCCTGTCCTTCTCCCATAATCAGACAACTGCCCTGTTTTTAAACATGAGTAAAACTTTGCAGTTAGGATTTAACTGTATCCTTTCCACCAAGTTATTATGGATAGTAAAAAGTCAGATTTTTAAAAGGTATTGTAAATCCTGCCCAGCTAAAAACAAACAAACAAACAAAAAACCAAATAAGAACCTATCCAAACACCCATAAACTATTCTTTGAGTCTTGCTTTTGAAAGTTTTCTTCAGTTCCCTGTTCTCAAAAGTAACAACTGGGCTATAAAATTTTCCAGCACCAGAGAACATTAATCTATATTCAGACCTGCTCCTTTCCACAGATATTGTAAACATAAATTCTGCAAGTATTTCCGTTAACTTTGCACTGAGATGTCAAGCAGGAAATAAATTTTTGGGTTTAGGCACCAAACCAGACATTTTTAATAGGTACTTAGTGTGTCCACTAAGTGTACTAAGGAAATTATTTGAGATTTCTTTTCAGATATCACACTAGCATTTCAATGCAAAGTGGCATCCAATTGTAAAACCCCACAAGCACAGTATAAACCTGGTTGAGCTGATTCTCCATTGTCTTCTTTCTTTTGCCATAATTAATAAGAGTGGCCAGGCTGTTCATCCACCTTGCACAGGTTTGAATGACAGCTGGAGGTGCCAGGGACACTCTATGTTCTCATTTGAATGCAAACTGAAATTCCATCATGATTTATTTTACAGACTTCATTGGGCCTGGGAGAATTAGAAACTTCCCTGAGGAAACAAGTCACTGGCCACTCATGGATATTTGCCAAAGAGATTCTGCAGCAGATAAATTACTGATGTATAAAAGGAGAAAGAATAGGAAAGAACAAAAGCAGTAAGAACAGAATAGACAATATGGATGAGTTATATGTCTTAGTGTTCAGTGTGAAGGTAGTAATTTTCTACATTTTCCCTCTTGTATAATCTTTATGAAGCTATTGAAGTAAAATGAGCAGCACCAGGGCTTGATGGTATTTGTCCAAGGGTTTTAAAGGAACTTACATCAGAAATTTCTGAGTAGTTGTCTTTGTTGCATTGTCTAATCAACCTCTTTTTGCAATTATCAGAAGCACGAAATTCAGAAAGGTCTTAGTGGTAATGCTGAAAATTGGGAATGGATGGCTTAGTCTGGCTTCTGCCCTGATGAATCTGCAGAAAATGTACTTAGGCTGCCTATAGAGAGCATGTGTATAATAGGTAAATATCTGCCTGTGATCCTCTCCTAATGAGGGAAACAATAAGCTCTCAGGCTGTTTTGTTATTTGAAGGAGCCAGTAAACACCTCCCTGATCTGCATAATGGTCTCTATTCAGGTATCAGTGAAGTTTTTCACAAAACCGTGAGCAAATGCTGTCGTTAAAGGAATTAAATCTCCTTGGGATGTTATAAAATTCTTCAAAAATGGTAGAAAAAATAGAAAACAGAAATAGGGATATGGGATCACTTCTTGCTGTGGAGGAAATTTGGAATCTCTCAGGACCATGTTT